GTCCAGGGTTTAAGTTCATCGCGTGGGGCCAGTCACAGTGAAGACACAAGACCTTGCGGCAGTCAGCAGGGGCAAATAATCATTGTGGCAATCGGCCACAGGCACGACGCCTCAGGACAGCCTGCAAGTTTATACTGTCATTCAGACAGGCTGGGCTCCTAGCACGTAACACTACAAACACAACATTCGACAAGTATTACTACCGATGACAAAAGGTAATCGAATGAGCAATTTAAGCCTCTTCATCGTCATTGCTGAAAAGTTTGGATATTATCTTCAAAATGAAGCCTTTTCTCTCTCTCATATGTGAGCAAGATTCTAAACTTAATTGGGCGGCCGGACAACTTGCAATCTGGATCGCAGTCTGGGTAGATTAAGGCAAACTGAAAAGAACAACGTCCCTCTTACAATAAGCTCAGATCGGCGGTGACCTCGTCATTTTACTTTGAATTTGCTCGACTGTGGCCAACGGAGGGTGGCTTGATTCGTAGAGTGTTAATCTCACTGACAAAAAATCGGTAATCACGGAGTATTACCGTCAGTGGGAGACTTGACTAAGCGACTGCACGAGCTCTAGATGGGGGTTTCAAAAGAATTGGAACTCCCACCTTCAATGCTGCTACTAATAGCTTGCTGAGTATAATGAAAACGTGACCTTTAACATCCCAACTTCCTCAGAGGCCGACCGAAATCCTTTTGGACTCTTCCCATTTGGAACGTGGCTGGCCTTTTACATCTGCTGTAGCAATTTCCACGCTATCTTATGCATGTCACGAAGAACAGTCTAGGGAGGACCTTACGGAAGATTCCATCTTCCTGCTTGTATTGTTGTGGATATGTAGAACTGCATGATTTAGGACTTATCATCGGGCCACCTATCATTTGGGTGGAAATAATTTAGGGGTTTATGCATAAGTCATCTTCCTGACGGTCGTAATGTTATTTACCGCACCAGAGATGACGTCTAACGAGTCACTTCCTTCCTACACTGCTGCACCAACACATATTGCCACTCTAACCCTAGTAGCGGATTTTGTAAGCCTCACATATGATGATGCCAGAAAACGTTCGCATCTTGAGAGGCAAGACACAGGTATGATAAGACTTAATTTTCTTTACTTCAATAACTACTATACCCCTTCTAGTAGGGGCAGTTATGCTTATTACTCTACAGAATCCGTTATCCCCTTGACAACCTATTTCAACATTGCATCCCTCCCCGCCCACGACATGAAAACTTTAAGCGTCCTGCGGTTACTTTTAGTTTAGTTTTAGCTTACTATTTGGTTAATTAGTATACTTTAACTTTTAGTTTTGTTAAGTGTAATTTTTATTTTTATTCTCT